TGTGATCTTAGTTCCCCAACTAAGATCACACCTGCATCAGCTGCACAGTGGAAGTATGGAGCCCTGCTGGACCGCCAGGGGATTCCTGTGTGTGTGTGTGTGTGAATTTTTGTGCAGAGCACTAAATCATAAAATAGTGTTTGGAAGCTGTGAATTTCAGATTTTTTTTGTCACATAAAGTTTGTGCATGAAGGAATATATTTTTCTTGGTTTTGGTAAACCCAAAATTAATTTCTCACTGTGCCCACAAGCACAGAGAGACTATTCAACAAGTATGTGTGTACTTGTGGCCAGTCAGTGGTACCAGAGATACAGTTGTGAATAAGACATAGATTCTAGTTGTGGGTTGGGTAGGACAGACAATAAGCAAATTTACATATAATGTTAGAATGTGATAAGTACAATGGAAAAAAGTAATATTGTGGTATCTTAGCCAAGATTGTATAGGAAGGCTCTTTATGAAGTGAACCTTTTAATAGAAACCCAAAGTCAGAGAGGGAATCCTGTCACTCTGTGATGGGAGAGCTTGTAAAGCAGAGGCAACAGCAGAGGAAAGGCCTTAAGGTAGGTACATGAATAAGACATAGATTGTAATTGTGGTAAGGGTAGGTAAACAAACTAATTTATAATGTTAGAATGTGACAAGTACAATAAGAAATGAGACTATTCTATAAGTAAGTGTGTACTTGTGGCCAGCCACAAGATGCCAGAGATACAGTAGTGAATAAGTGAACAGGAACTAAAGAGTATCTTGATGAGGATGAAAGATGAGAGTGAAAAAGCTGGCTTAAAACTCAACATTAAAAATACGAAGATCATGGCATTCAGTCCCATCACTTCATGGCAAATAGAAGGCGAAAAAGTAGAAACAGTGAGAGGCTTTATTTTTGGGGCTCCAAAATCACTGTGAACAGTGACTGCAGCCCTGAAGTTAAAAGATGCTTGCTCCTTGGAATGGAGCTATGACAAACATAGACAGCATATTAGAAAGCAGAGAGATCACTTTGCTGACAAAGGTGTGTATAGTCAGAGCTATGGTTTTTCCAGTAGTCATGTATGGATGTGAGAGTTGGACCATAAAGACGGTTGAGCACTAAAGAATTGATGCTTTCGAATTGTGCTGCTGGAGAAGACTCTTGAGAGTTGCTTGGACACAAGGAGATCCAACCAGTGAATCTTAAAGGAAAGTGAAAGTGAAGTCGCTCAGTCGTGTCCGACTCTTTGCGACCCCATGGACTGTAGCCTACCAGGCTCCTCCCTCCGTGGGATTTTCCAGGCAAGAATACTGGAGTGGGTTGCCATTTCCTTCTCCGTCTTAAAGGAAGTCAACCCTAAATATTCATTGAAAGGACTGATGCTGAAGCTGAAGCTCCAATACTGTGGCCATCTGATGCAAAGCAACTCATTGGAAAAGACCCTGATGCTGGGAAAGATTGAAGGCAGGAGGAGAAGGGGATGACATAGGACGAGATGGTTGGATGGCATCACCGACTCAATGGACATAAATTTGAGCAAACTCCAGCAGATAAGAGCAGGGAAGCCTGGTGTGCTGCAGTCCATGGGGTTGCAAAAAGTTCGGCGTGACTTAGCGACTGAACAACTGCAGTCATCTGTACAATCTGTTCTCCATTGATTTGTGGATCCATTTTATTGTACATCTCCCTAGAAACACAGGTTTGTCTTCTACACTCAGTTCTCAGTTGAGTTCCATTGGTTTGTCTACTTGCAAATACCATACTGTTTTTATTGCTACAACTGTGTAACATGGCTTGATATCTTGTAGGGGAAGTTTCTCTCTTCTCTTTTCAGTTTCAAGGTTGACTTAGGTATGTGTTTATTTCAAAAATGTTAGAGTTTCTGAAAGAAGCTCAGTGAGAATTGTAGTTGTAATTAATTTGTGTAGAGTTTTGTTTGTGGTATTTTGTCATTCCATTCCTTTCAGTCATCCTATTTGCCCTTTATTAGTGTTTTAATACTAATAAATGAGTGCTGGCCAACAGGATGAATAAGATATTCTCTAATAAGTCGGTTAGCAGTATTCTGGATCCTTTTTTTCATGAAAGTCCCTTTGCATTTTTGTTGGAGTGAGTATTCCTTTTGTATTATGATCGTGTATTGTGTGACCTCAATATATTTCTTTCTTGCTTTTTTTTTTTTTTTTGCTATTCTGAGTTTTGTATGCCTGGCATGCTGTTTTGATGACTATTCAGGAAGTCCCAGTGAGTTCCAATCAAAATCAGAGCAAAAGAGATCCCTCTTGTTTCTCTATCCTTTATCCATTGAATGCCTATTATGAACTCTAGTTGAGAATACAAACAACTGAAAAACAAAAGAATCTCCAGCTAAAATCTCATGTATTCTGGTAAGAAAGATAGAGTTGACTGTAAATCATTGCCTCTCATACTGTAGGTCTTAATGTTGCCTTTTCAGAGGAGCTTTTCTTTGATCCTACAGTTAAGATTGGAGTACCGTATAATCTTTTCTTCTTGTTACTTGCTCTTTTTTCTTTATGATCCTTTTTGGAGTAATTATTACTTGAGTTCTTTTTTTCCACTGAAGTGTAACATCCACAAAGGTTATCTATTGTTAATGGATGTATCTCCAATGTGTAATAAATGCCTGTTTAGACATAGTAGGAATAAATTTTTTATTTGTTGAATGATGTATCAACTGGAATACAATACGATAAACACATTGAATTTTTATCTGTGGATCTGTGAAACACACCAGTGGCTCAGATGGTAAAGAATCCACCTACAGTACAGGAGACCTGGGTTCGATCCCTGGGTTGGGAAGATCCTCTGAGGGAACCCATGGCAACCCACTCCAGTATTCTTGCCTGGAAAATCCCCATGGACAGAGAAGAGAAGCTTGGTGGGTTATGGTCCATAGGGTCGCAAAGAGTCGGACACAACTGAGCGACTAAGCACAGCACAGCACATGAAGCACACAGGAAGGATTACTTCGTTTCATTCACATAAGAATTTTGAGGAATGAACTTTCGGCTTGATATGAAAATGTCATTTTCAGTCAATATTCTTTTATGCTACAAGCTTTCCCTGCCTTCCAACATCAAAACCTCTTTGCAAAATTCTGTGGCCAGAGACGATGGTCCAAGGGTTGAAACTTCTCCTGTTGTCCCATTTGTGAAATTGTTAGGCCCAGTTAATTTCAAAGGAGAACAGCCTTTTGTTCTAAATCTTTACTCTCTCCTTAAGGTTGTTACATCTAGTATTTATTAATAACCATAGTTTATAGTTTAAACGATAACAATTTCTTCCTGGTTTTGGGACCTAGAGTAAGATGTTGAATTGTAAACTACTAGTTTTTTTTTTAAATTATTGATGCAATGACTGAATACATTAACAAATATATTGGAGGTAGTCATCTATCCAGATTACTTGTAACCTGTGGCAGGATATTTGTTCTTCAGGATTGTCTTCAAGCCCTGACCCAACTGAAGAGCCTAGCCAATTGACTATAGAGTATAGATTCCTGATGGGCATGGGCTGTATGAGTAAATAATTGTTGTGATTCAAAATCCTTTGGGCTTTGCACCCAAATCATCATTAGCAAAGAATTAATGAACCATAACACAACACATCAGGACTGTTTTTGATACATTTTGAGAAATAAGAGCAAATAAAAAGATTGCCTTTTATGTGGTTAATATTTACAATATTTATGGAAATTTCAGGAAAGAGAAGTGTTCTACTGTATTACATTTCTGAGCAGAAATGAGAAGATTTATTTATTACATAATATCATTTGCACAGGTCTTTTGGGTTTTGTTTTGTATACTTCCAAAAGATATTTCTGTCTGCATGAATTCCATATATATCTGATAGGATTAGAACTTAAAAATCTGGTGAAAGTGAAAAATGAAAATGTTAGTCACTCAATTGTGTCTGATTCTTTGCGACCCCATGGACTGTAACCTGCCAGGATCCTCTGTCCATGGAATTCTCCAGGCAAGAATACTGGAGTGGGTATGCATTCCCTTTTCCAGGGGATCTTCCTGACCCAGAGCTTGAACCTGGGTCTCCTACAGGGATGTCCAAAAGTCTGGTAAGCTTGCCCATTTCTATGATCAAATCATCTTTAATTTGTTTAATGAGCTTCATGTAAGTAGGTGTTAAGTGTTTTTCTCTGCACTGTGCATGAATATTTCAGTTCTGTAAAAATATTTTAAATTTTTTTGGAGCTGTTACTCTTTTTGTTGTGTTGTTGAGATTTTCATTTTCCTGGTCTAACACGTTACTCTTTTGCCTAATAATTGTGTTTAAAGTTTTGCAATAATTGAAAAAATTTTGATGTATTTGTTCCTGTTTGTGCTCCCTACTCAGCTGAAATTGTTTGCTTTTCATTTGATCTAAGATTTGTTTCTAAAGGGGATTAATGATTTTTGGAGGACAGTAGTAGTCTTTCGTAAAAGAAATACGCTTAATAAAACAGGGATAATTTGTTTACTGTTCATATTTTGCTGAACAGGCAGAGTTGGCCTTGAGAACGTACACTCTTAGAGATAGAAGATCTAGAGTTTACCATTGTTGTTACTATAAAGCGAATAGTTTTATATTCGCTTTTATATTCGCAACTCAGAAAGTCATTGTTGTCTTCCCTACCCTGTGACTTCTCTTCAGTTTTACAATATAAATGTTTGTTTCTGTGTTATCACTAAACAGGGATAAACATACGGGCTTTAGAGTGGATCTTTGCTGGCAGTTATTTCCATTATACACTAATATACTTGTCATTCATCAGTAGATGGAACTGGAAAATAAGAATGTACTGGGATACTTCACCCATTACAGGAAGTAATGACAAGGAAAGGTTTCATATTTTTGCTTGACTTAGTTTTTATATTAAGCATATTAGTATTTTTAAAATAATCCAGAAACATTGAATGTTTTGATTTATTTTTAAATGTATAGTTTATTTAGAAAAGAGCAATGTCTTCCTAAATGATCATTATTCTGCTTTGTTTCCTGTTTTTTCAGAGATATTACCTATGAAATATCAGTAGAAGCTGTGTCAACAATGATGGTTTTCCTTTCTTGCCAACTCTTCCACAAGGAAGTTTTGCGACAGAGCATCAGTCACAAGTATTTGATGCGAGGTCGATGGTATGTTTCTATTTTAAATTTGTCAAGTTCTTTATTGTCTTCATCTATAGTTCTCCTGTTGTCCTCTTTTCTTAGTGTTGTTCCATATCTCCAAATAGATGTTTCCTATGGTTGTTTTCATCAGAACTTCAGACCGAATACATAAGGATGTGCTTTCCTGCTAAACTAGCCATCCTCCCCACCCCTTTCATCCTCCAGCTCCTTTACCTTCTCTGGTGGTTTCTTTGTAGAGTTGAAACTGTGAAGTCCTCCTTTTCTTCCTGCTGCGTCATTCTGTATGTGTTAAGGAGTCACCCAGTCATATTTGTTCACTGAAATTATTTCTAGCTTCCCCTTCCCATTAGCTCCATTGAAAGTACTACGTAGTGTATGCCTCCTCACCATGTGTTTGGACTTCCCCGGCAGCTGCTTCACTGACCATCCCTCCTTTAATTTAGGCCACAAATATTTATTGTATGTTAGGCATGTGTTAGGATGTGGAGCTGTGCTCCTGAGCATAAGCTTACAGTCTCCTGGTGAGTGCGGGTAGGAGTAGATAAATATCACACACACACACACACACACACAGGGGCACCTTTGTCTTTCTTACATCCCTCTTGCCACCTTGATTATACCTATGGCACATTCACCGAATCCTTCAGGACTCTTTTAGAACACATTTGAAAATCACTGATAATAGAGATGAAAAGGCCTTAAGCATTGGCTCAAGAGTCTATTTAAAAGCTTTCTCCAGATTGCAGGAATTGATTCATCACTAATTTATGAACACATTTTTCTTAACATATTTTCTCTCCCTTCTCCTCTCCATCCATTACTGAAAAACAGAGTATTAACATTGAAAAAAAAGGTCTGTATATGTATGGATATGTTTTTGTATGCATGCATAGATTGAATGATTTCATATTTTTATTTATTTTTAAAAATGTAAGGTTCAATAATTATTTCTATTGGTTATATGTTGAATATTTTGGATATATTGGGTTAAGTCAAATATTACTATTCACGTCAGTTTCCATATTTTTTAACTCTTGCTTTTTCCTGCTGATTCTGTTACTACCGCCCTTCAAGTGTCAAGTACTGTATTATATACTGAATTTGTAATAGCTCACCTGTTGTACTGACTGCAAATAAAGTAACTGAAGCTTAGGAGTTGAAACGATTTGGTGAATAATACACAGCATAGTAAAGAGGAAAGCCAGAATTCATTCAACCTGAAATCTGATCTCACAGCCCATAATCGTCTCTGTTTTGTGACAATGCTAGATTTTCTTTGAATTGTGCTAATCCTTATGTCAATAGATTATATTTATCACGATACAGAGTCAGTTGACTCCCCAAAATATGAGTTTATTTTCTTCTTTTTTTTCTTTTTGTGTAGTCTTCCATACACCAGCAAACTTGTGAAAACCTTACTGTATAACTTCATCAGACAGGAAAAGCCACCTCCTCCAGGAGCGCATGTATTGCCTCAGCAGTCGGATGGGGGAGGACTGCTCTATGGATTGGCATCAGGAGTGGCAAGTAAGTCCTGCCAGAATTTGTCAGCTCTGTGATGTATGTAGTAGGTTTTGTCCTGTTAGTCATAAGAAGTTCTGTTCACTTGACTGCTAGTACCGTTATATTGCTGGGTTGAATGTGAAATAGAGTATTTTTTTCATTTGGTGCACTGATTTTTACAAGGAAGTATATGCAAATCATGAATAGATTGTTTACCTATAAGACAGCATTTTTCAAGAAGAATAAGCATGCATATTGTATGCATTCTAGCTGTGCAATATAAATATAGTTATGCTCTTGGAAACTTTTTATCACTTACGTTTTATGAGGAAATTGTTCTGTTTTAGGGGCTTTCTTGAGTAGGATTTTATATGACTAATTAGGTGTAGTTTTTTTATTATACACACGTTTCCTTTGTTTGGTGACAAATTAGCACGTTTTGAAGAGGCTTATAATAAATTCTGAAGTGGCACAAGCATGAATTTTATCAGATTGGAAGCAAATTTCATTAACTGAAGAATCCTTTCCCATGCTTCACAGTGTTTCGACTTAAAAGAGACTAGAAATACCAGAGGACCTGGGTCATGTGAGGTTACATCAACCGAACTTGTGCTTTGTTCTGAAAGAGAAACAAAAATTACACTGGCACTTTGGCAGTAGTAAGATCTGCCTGGGTGCTGTTACTTAAGAAACCATATATGGTCCACTTAATTACACAGTGCAGAGTTCAGCTGTCTGAAGGAATTTTAAATGGAACTGAGTTCTGCAGCTGAATTAGGCAGTGACATGTTCTCCACACTCTAGCCTGGGTGTCAGTTTAATAGGAAAATGGAGTACTGTGTGATAATTTATGAGATGATTAGTCTCAGGAACCTCTTTAGATTGAAAGACCTCTGTTCTAGGTCATCTTCTTTTGACTTCTTTTAGTATTATAAGTTGAATTACATTTGTAATCACTCTTGGCTTTGTCTCTGGTGCTGAGCATGCTGCCTCGATCATCAGATCTGCAGAGGTTCATTCTCCGAGCCACCCATCCTGTGGCCCTCATTGTTTCAGATAAGGAGGCTTTAGAGGCTTGCTTTTTTGTGGTCTCTAAAGGCAGCGCAGAAAGGGCTTTGTGTGTTCTATGGAAAGGCTTGATTAATCTGTTAGGTTTTTTTTTGGCCACAAGGCATGTGGGATTTTTAGTTCCCCGACCAGGAACTGAACCTGGTTGCTTGGCAGTGGAAGTCCAGAATCCTAACCACTGGACCACTGGGGAATTCCCAGTGTTTTCTCTTTTCAGTCATTAAACTAGTGTTAGTGTTCAAAAGCTGAGTATTTTCTAGTACTCTCCAGTATGGTTGGAGGAGATACTATAAATTCATTAACTGCTTTCTTTCAAACAATGGTAATACTTCGCAGTTTTTCATAGATGTGTGTAGTTCTTGATTTTTCTTGCAGTTATGTGTTATCATAAAGAAAGAAGTTCCGTATGATATGTAATGTCATCTGTACTGCATGCCAAAAGACTTTTTAATTTCAGTTATACTCTGTGTATTAGAAGGAGGTTGCCAGTTTGTCTCCCAAATGTCTATCAAAGTTGGAATAGATAATCTCTTAAGACTATTTCCACATAATTTTGAATGGTTCTCTGATCTTTTCCCCTACCATTAAGAAGTTTAGTATTCAGCTAAGGGCATTAAAATAGACTTAGGATTTTTGTGTGCCTATAGTGGTAAGGCATTTTTCATAGCTTCTTAAGTCTTCATAAAACTATTCATGTAAAAGTATAAGTGATGGAGTAATTTATTATTTTACAGTATGTGGCCCAAAAGATTATTAAAAAAAAAAACAACCAAAGGATATTTTTCTTCTAAAAAGCACATTTATGTATTTTGTGCAAAAAAGAAAGTGTTAATGAGAGGGAGGTTCAAAAGGGAGGGGATATATGTATACCTTTGACTGATTCATGCTGAAGTTTAACAGAAAACAACAACATTCTGTAAAGCAATTATCCTTTGATAAAAAAATAAATTAAAAAAAAAGAACGGTCATAGCCATGTAATTTTGAATTAAGCTACATTCCATGAAAGTCAATCAAGTTGACAAAGGAAATAAAAAATTTGTTTTTAATTGTAGGATAATTGCTTTACAGTATTGCATTGGTTTCTACCAAACATCAACATAAATAAGCCATTGATTTACCCTTGTCCCCCCTTGAACCTGAACATCCCTCCCACCTCCCTCCCCAACCCACTGCTCTAGGTTGTTACCAGATCCTGGTTTGAGTTACCTGAGTCATACAGCAAATCCTCATTGGCTTTCTGTTTTACATTTGGTATGCATGTTTCCACGTCCCTCTCTTCATGCCTCCCCCCAGGCTGTGTCCGTAAGTCTGTCCTCCGTGTCTGTGCCTTCACGGCTGCTCTGCAGATAGACTCAGCAGTACCTCCCATCTTTCCAAATTCTAAATCTAAATAGCATATGACATTTGTATTTCTCTTTCTGATTTATTTTACTCTGTATAATAGCTCTAGGTTCATCCACCTCATTAGGACTGACTCAAATGCACTCCTTTTTATGGCTGAGTAATATTCCATTGTATATATGTACCACAGCTTTTTTATCCATTCCTCTATCAATGGACATCTGGGTTGCTTCCATGTCTTAGCTATTAGAAATAGAGCTGCATTAGGGAACATGGGTCTTTTTCACTTTTGGTTTCCTCAGGATACATGCCTAGTAGTGGGATCGCTGGGTCGTACGGTTGTTTTATTCCTAGTTTTTAAAGAAATCTTCATACTGTTCTCCGTAGTGGCTGTACCAGTTTACATTCCCACCAACAGTGCAAGAGGGTTCTCTTTTCTCCACACCCTCTCCAGCATTTATTGTTTGTAAATTTTTTAATGATGACCATTCTGACTTGTGTAAGATGATAACCTCATTGTGGTTTTGATTTTCATTTCTCTAATAATGAGTTGAAGTTGAGCATCTTTTCATGTGTTTGTTAGCCATCTGTATGTCTTTGGAGAAATGTCTGTTTAGGTCTTTCATCTACATTTTGCTTGAGTTGTTTGTTTTTCTGGTATTGATTTGTATGAGCTGCTTTTGAAATTAACCCTTTGTCAGTTGTTTCATTTGCTATTATTTTTTTCCCATTCTGAGGGTTTTTTTTGTTTGTTTGTTTATTGTTTCCTTTGCTGTGCAAAATCTTTTTAAGTTTAATTAGGTCCCATTTGTTTATTTTTGTTTTTATTTCCATTACTCTAGGAGGTAGGTCATAGAGGATCTTGCTGTGATTTATGTCACAGAGTGTTTTGCCTATGTTTTCCTCTAAGAGTTGACAAAGGAAATTTGACCTTAGTTGTGTTATCTTTTGGTTTGATGATCTTTTGGTTGGTAGTTACGGAATTTTCTTTAATATTAGCTTGAGAAAGATAACAATTTGGAAGGTCCTCACCAAAAGAAAAAAAAGATTCTAAAGCCAAATGTAAATTGTAAACCCTTTTGGATTATATTCATTTTCATTGGGATTAAATTTTTCCTGGATTTAGAAAGCATTTCCTTTCATAGCAGGGTATGTATAGTATGGTTTGCTTAAATTATTTCTTTGAATTAGGGTGCGTTACTTGAAAGAACACAACAGTTTTCGACAGTGAGGTTTTTGTTGTAACTGGAAAGGAAGAAGAGACACTTTTTGTTAGAACTGGAGTACAGAGGAGCAGTGAGCCATACATCTGGACCTTCAAAGAGTTAGGCAGGGCCCCCTCCAGTTTATTCTCACTTTTTCCAGATTTATCTTTGGTTGTTGCCCAGACTTGAGCAGAAACTCTGCTGCCTCTTACATGCCTGACTTTTTTTCCTTTTTCATACTTTTGCTTGGGTTATCTTTCTAACCTAGAATCCTACTTCCTCCTCTCTCTGATGTTAATTTTTCTGACTCTCCATCCGTTAAGATCCATCTTAAGTACCACCTTCTCCACAAAAGACTTCCTTTCCTACCTCGAAGCTAGATGCAGTTTTTTTCCTGAGGCACTTAACTCTCTGCTTTGTCTTATGATCACTAGGTTCAAGCCTCATTCTCCCTCCATTGGTTCTGCATACAATAAAACTTCACAGTTTACAGAGCAACTTTTATGTATCTCACTTTATTCTCATAGCAACCTTGTGAAATAAATGGTTTTACTTTTTTAATATAGTTGGTAAAGAGCTGTCCCTAGATATTAAATTGTCTAAGATTACATAGCAAAGAGTCATGTTGGTTTGCACTTTAGCTTTGTTCCTTTGACTCTTGACTTGTGCTGTCTGCACCCCCCGCCTTCTATCCATTTTTTTCTATTTAAAAAAATTTGAACTGAAGTATTGTTGATTTGGGGCTTCCCTGGTAGCTCAGTTAGTAAAGAATCTGCCTGCAATGCAAGAGACCCTGGTGTGATTTCTGGGTTGGAAAGATACTCTGGAGAAGGGATAAGCTACCCACTGCATTGTTCTTGGGCTTGCTTGTTGGCTCAGATGGTACAGAATCTGCCTGCAGTGTGAGAGACCAGGGTTCGATTCCTGGATTGGGAATATCCCCTGGAGGAGGGCATGGCAACCCCCTCCAGTTTCTTGCCTGGAGAATCCCTTGGACAGAGGAGCTGGCAGTCCGCAGTCCATGGGATGGCAAAGAGTAGGACATGACTGAGCAACTAAGCACATACCCACTCTTTTTTAGATACTATTCCTGTATAGGTCCTTACTGTTTGGTCTTTCATTGTCACCACTTGACTCCTGAGTGTATAAGCTGCTTCTTGACATATGAGGGTGTTCACTGCAGCAGAGCACCTTATATTTGTGGACTGTCAGTACATACTTGTATGTAATTAAATACCAAAAGCTAATACTTATCTACCTCAGGATGGGAAGCTGAATGTGGCTCAGATCATGAACTCCTTATTGCAAAATTCAGAGTTACATTGAATAAAGTAGGGAAAACCACCAGACTATTCAGGTATGACCTAAATCAAATCCTTTACGATTATATAGTGAAAGTAAGAAATAGA